GGAGGGACCCAAGATGAAATACAAACACTAACCAATGCATGTAACTGTATTAAATAAGAAAGGATAACATAACCACACCAAAGGAGGTAGATGAAAAAGTCACTAACCTGAATAACTTCGGAAACAGTGTATTAACATATTCTATGGCTACAGTTAAAAGAGAACTACACATAAACATTATAATATCATTGACTTTTTCTCACAGGGTATGGTTAGCAGTTACAAAATTACTATACAGAGGGAAATAATAGACATGGGGGCTCCAAAAAGGGGTGGGTCAGAGGGGAGTGACGGCTGAAGAGTTACCTGCTGAGTACAACACTGGGTGATGGGTACACTAGAAAACCACACTTCAACATTATGCAAGATATTCATGTAACAAACCTGCACATGTATTCCCTGAATCTATAAAAATCAAAATCAATAAAATAAAATAACTTCATGTGTGTATTAGAACTGAACAAATAAGTGAATATATTGTAGATAACGAAAGCTGGATTTCTCCTGATTGAAGAAAGAAATTAAAAATAAAGAGGAGGGGTAAAATAAACCATTATGGATTTGAATCCTAGTTCCATTTGCTGAAAAGTCCTAGTAGCAATGACACTCCAGTAGCAATTGACCAACAAAGTTTTCAGATCTGAACTTCTAAATGCCTTCTTCCTTGGCAAAGTAGTTAATTTCAGGGGTGGGGCAGGGAAAATACAAGATGAGACCCAACCATCTTGTGATTTCAGAAAGTTAGAAAGTACAGAAAGATGAAAGCTTGTAAAAGAACACAGGCGCCAACCTAAAGGTGCTTCTAATGTTCAAACCTGGAACATGTTGAGCTCCAAAACAATTACAATGTTGGATTCTAACCTGTAATATAAAATAAATATATTTATCCATACTGACATAAACAAATAAATGGCAGCACTAGGACAGCTGTCCCTTACAGTGGAATTCCAAGGAAAGACTGAAATAAAAAATCACCATTCGGCAAAATCATCAATAATCATTGTTGCAGACAAGATCTGCTATGGACATTAAAGTTAATCAACTAAAGTTTGAGAAGAAACAGGGTCTGCATAGTCACAAAGCATGTCCTTAAAGATTTGTTAACTACAAAGGGAAGATAGTAACCTCACAGTAGAGAAAACTGTCAGGCACCAACTTAACCAATGCTCAGACATATTCTTAGGATGCACTGAAGACCCAAGATTAATTCAGTGACATTCTAGCCAAAGATGTATAACCTCATTCCAATCAGGAGAAAACATCAAAGAAGTCCAAACTGAAGGACATTCAGAAAATAACTGATTGGTAGTCTTCAAAACCTTCAAGGTCATGAAAGACAAGAAAATACTGAGAAACTATTACAGACTGGAGGACACTCAAAAGTGTGACTGACAACTGAATGGATGTGGTATCCTGGACTGATCCTGAAATAGCAAAAGGATGCCAGTGGAAAAGTCAGTGGAATTGGAATAAGTTCTAAAATTTAGTTAACAGGATTAACACAATGTTAATTTCATGGTTTTCATAAATGTCCCATATTTAAGATGTTAACATTAGGAGAAGCTGGATGAGAAGTATATGAGAACTCTGTGCGATTTTTGCAACCTTTCTATAACTAAAAACTTAGTTCAAATACAAAGCTTTTTAAAACGTTTTGTTACCTCTTCCATAATATTATTCCATTTTAAACTTCCAAAAAGAGGTGCTAATGCTAAAAGCTTAAATCTTTTCAACTGGTTAAGCAGGGTTACGTAAGCATCTTGAAAGTTCCGTTTATTCTGTAAAATAAAGAAAAATCAGAAAAATTGTTATAAATAAAATAAGTAGTTATTTTCCAACTATAGAAAATTACATATTTTAGATATAATTATGTTACAATATATTTCTAAGGAAAAAATATGCCAATGTAATTGTAAGTTTAAACCCCATTGAACATCACTATTGTGTCTTTGAAAGTTAATTTTTGCCTAGGAATATAGTATATTTTGTTTTTTAACAGCTTCATAAAAGTATAATTAACATAACATAAAATTCATTCATTTTGTTACAATTCAATAGCGGTTAGTAAATTTATCAACTTTGGAACCAATATCACAATCTAATTTTAGAACACTTCCAGCACCCTCCAAAACACCATCATCCCCATTTAATGCCATATATTTTAACAAATTTCAAACATACACATGAATAAAAGACAGTATAACCCCCTTTCAGGTACCTATCACCCAGCAGCAGCCATTTTCAATATACATTGTATTTTTAATCATATTTCAAATAATCCTCAAATTGACTAATAACATAACTTCTTTAAGGTGAATATTCAACAAATTAGAAATAGATTACTTTAACAAAAATTACATTCTTCATTAAAAAAATTATTCGGCCAGG